AAAAAAAAAAAAAAAAACTCAATCCGCTTAACCCCGAAAGCCCATATAACTTCAGTACCAAGCCCCAAGCCCCACTCTAATTGTTGAGGCGCCTACCTGATATACAAGTGCCATGACTGCGCCGGATTACACAAGGAGACTACCGATTTCTGCGTCCCTCAAGCCCATGGCGACGCCCGCCTTCTGCAGCGTATCTTCCAGGCTGGCCTTCACTTCCCGCGCTCGATCTCGGAGGTGCCAGACTTCTAAGGTTTCAGGCTTGGAGCTGAGGGTTTAGGGCTTAGGGTTTAAGGTTTAGGGCTTAGGCTTGAGAAGTTGGGGTATAGAACTAAAAGGCATGGAGTTCAGGGCTTTGTGTTTAGATTTCAGGGTTGAGGGTTTACCGTTCCAAGGTGTGGGACCTGGAGGTCCCCTTTTTCAAGCGGGATCCATGGCAAAGGGTCCCTTCAAAGGGTTTAGGGTTTAGGGGTTTAGGGTTTAAGGTTTAGGGTTTTAGGGTTTAGGGTTTTAGGGTTTAGGGTTTACGGGCTTAGCGGCTAGCGTGTTTAGGATTCGGGGCTGTAGAAATGATATTTGAAAATTCATAGTATGAACAGCTTAGAACTTGGGGGCTTGGGGTTGAGGGCTACATGGAAATGAAAGGTGCAGCGCTGAGCGTTTAGGATTCATGGGTGCATCCAACCCACGCCCTGAGACCCAATATGTAAACCTGAGCCGCGAAACCTAATCCTTAAACCCAAGAGCCTCAAAACCTAATCCCTGAATGCTGAATCCTAACACCCTGAACCCCAAACGCAAAAACCTAAATCCTGAACCCTAAAACCTAAGTGCTACACCCTGAACCCCCAAACCCTAAACTCTGAAACCTACGCCCTAAATCCGGCACCTAAATCCTAAACCGTAAGTCTCGAACCCTCGAACCTCAACACTAAGCCCGAAACCCTAACCCCCCCTTGGTCTGCCTTCAAGGAGTTCAGACCCTAAACCCTAAACCCTACATAATCACCTATATAATCACCATATATAACCCCTTTCAGGGAGTTTAGACCCTAGACCCCAAACCCTAAACACTATACCCTAAACCCTATAGTAGTCCCCCATATAACCCCCTTTAAGGAATTTAGACCATAACCCCTAAACCCTGAACCCTAAACCCTAAACCCCAAACCCTCAACCCTAAACCCTGAACCCTGAACCCTAAGCCCTAAGCCCTAAACCCTAAACCGTATAGCCCCTTGAAGGAGTTTGGAGCTCCACTGCTGTCCATGCGGCTCTGAAGGACAGCGGCCGATGCTTTCAGCTCCTGGCCAAGGAGCTGCGCTAAGAAAGTTTGGGGTTTTAGGGTTTAGGGGTTTTAGGATTTAGGAAAACGTTAAATTCCTGGGAGTTAGGGTTTTTAGGGTTTTTAGGGTTTGGAGTTTAGGGTTTGGGGTTTGGAGTTTAGGGTTTTAGGGTTTTTAGGGTTTAGGGTCGGGGATGAAAGGTAAGGTTTAGGATTTAGGGTTGGGTCTAAGGTTTAGGATCTAGGGTCGGACATGAAGGGTAGAGTTTAAGGTTTAGGGTTGAGGATGAAGGGTAGGGCTTAGGGCTGGGGATTCAGGGTACATAGGGGTATATGAAGATAAAAAAAAAGTACATGTAAGGGTATATTGGGATGTAGAGGTTCAGAAGATGGAGCTTAAGATTGAGGTTTCAGGGTGTAGGACCTACACCCTAAACCCTAAACCCAGTGTAGGATTTGAGGGTTTGGGGTGGGTTTATGTCTGATGGCTTACCGTCTATTCTAGGATGGGTGGCTTAGGGTTCAGGTTTTGGGGTTTCAGTGCTAGGTTGGAAACTCAAATGGAGAACGAGGTTTAGGGTTTAGGGTTTTAGGGTCTAGGTTTTTTTTTTGTCGGACCTTTTCTCCGGTTTAGGGTTTAGGGTTTAGGGCAAAGGATTTGGGTTCCCTTTGGATTGCTTATGCCCGGACTCACAAGGACTGTGATGTATATTCCACATAATCTATGCAAAGCCTTCTGCAGGATACGTGTGGACTGTGGTTGTGGGGTTTAGGCTTGCAAGATTTGGCCCCCAACTTATGACATCTGGGCAGGCTCTACGGAAAAGACTTCTTCTCATGCATCCCACAGTTCCGTTCATAAACCAGGGAAGCCGTGTTGTACGGGCTGGGTCGTCCTAGGAGAAGCAATTAAACCAGGCTTGACCATAACTGATTTTGGCACAAAGTCTCGGCCCCATCCCTTTCAGGATAAGGTCAACAGCATGGGCCCTTAGTGCTAAACACACGTTCACGAGGCCGGCTTTCTTTCGAAGACAGGTCTTTCGAAGGGGCCAGGCGAGTAGCACGAGACCAGATGACCGCAGCTTCATGCAGCGTCGACGCCCTCCATAATCACTTCCAGTACTGCGCGGCGGGGTTTCGCTGTGATGTGTCTCATGGAGAGTAGCCTGATGTCAAGTTGGAGTTGACCACTCAGACGCTTTCCAGAAATCGCATTGGTGAGACGCATCGGGCAGCGGCCGTGCTAGTGAGGAATGCCTCGTATTCCTCGTGGGCCTCTCTGCAGTGTGAGGTACTTTCAGGTGCATGAGCAGACGTTCCCGTGCATGCTGCTGGGCAGCTACGAAGAATAGCTTAGGGCTACCCTCAGTATCCTGGCGCCCAAACTAGGTTAGAGGTTTGGAGGCTACCTGCCCCAAGCCCTAAACCCTGAACCCTAAAAGCCTTGTCAAGCCCAGGGAATCCTGACATGCAGTTGATGGACAGAATCCTCCACCTCCTTAAATCGACAATTGAAGCTGTCCTTTCATACGATTTCGCATCCCTTACCTAAACCCCAAAAGTATGTAAAAGAATAGCCCTAAACCCATAATAATAGCCCTAGAGGCCATAAATTTACATACTTTTGGGGTTCAGGTAGTGTGCATGACCTGTCCATGAACCATGCCTGGAGCTAAAATGAAGCTCATGCCTTCAATCAGCCCCGTCACTTCAACACCGAACACAGTCCCGCATCAAGGGTTTACCCTCCTGGAAAGTAACATGGAAACCCCAAAGGAGCCCTATGAAGACTACAGTCCTTCTCGGAAACTAACATGGAAACCCCAAAGGAGCCCTATGAAGACTACAGTCCTTCTAAAAGGGACTATATGGGTTTCCATGTTACTTTGGGGGAGTGTAGGGTTTAGGGTTTGGGGTTGCCCCTCATCTAAATGGGCCGCGTACTCCCCAGTCTTGAAGAGTCCAAATAAAATACCCGTACATATTCATGGGAACGTTCAGGCTTTGGGGGGAAGTGTGAAGTTTGTCACTGCTCGCAGCAGAAGGTGATTGTCATTACTCCAATCCCGTAGCCTCTACGACCTGAGTAGTTTCTATTTTATTTGACATTATCCTCATATAACCCCATTATAATCCCATATATCCCCTATATATCCCCTATATAGCCCCAATACATCCCCAGAATATCGCATTCAGGGTCCTCTGTGGGGCCGCGTATCCTGGGCATGGTGCTCTGGCGAATTTTCAGAAGGTGCGGGAGCTTTGGGTTGCAAACCTCAACAAGCAACCCGGCAACCCCAACCTATATAGAGTTTAGGGTTTAGGGTTTAGCGTGCGCGCTCCGCGTTCTCAGCCACCCCCCCCCACCCCCATCCCCCCCCCATGGTATGGTCCCCATCTGGGAATAAGCCATATCTCGAACCTCCTAGAATCATGAACTCTCCGTAAAACCTCCCTAAACCTTCTTTCAAACATTCTCTAAACCGTCACCACAGGACCCAGACCACAGGACCACACGGGGGGGTACCTTCATAACCTTCTGCTAAAGACTCTATGAAGCTTCACAAACCCATTAACCCTCTACGAACCCTCCAGAAAGCAGAAAGCTCGCTAACCTTTTGACCTTTCGCAAGCGTTTACAATAGCTATCCCCAGTTAACCTTCTATTTAGATTTATACAAAACCTTTACAAACCTCTAGAAATAATCTATCTCTGTAAGATATGTATAAAACTCATGTATAAAACCTATCAAGCCTTCAAAAAGTCTAAAGACCCCTTCAGAAAACCTCTCGAGACCATCTAAACACTTGCTTTTGAATTAATGAACCGGCTACAAACCTTCTTTAAACCGCATAGAACCCTTTTATAAACTCTATAAGAAGGTAACCTCTCAATTAAATCTCCAAACCCAGACCACAGGACCACAGGGTGAGGGGGGGGTAACCGCATAGAACCCCTTTACAAACACTATAAGCTTGCATAAACTTAGTCTAAGCCTCTCAATTAAACCGCCAGAGCCAGACCACAGGACCACAGAAAAAGGGGGGTAGGTTCATCATACTCTATATCATGGACACCATGGACCATACCATGGGGGGGAGGCAGGGAGGGGGGGGGTGCGCTGAGAATGCTTGTTAGAGTCTAGGGTTTGGGGTTTGGCCCGGAGATGCTTGCTCACCTGACAGGTTCGCGAATCGTTGAGGGAGAGCCTCAAGAACTTGGGCAGTGAGGATGCCAAGTTGGTGGGTTTGGGGTACCCATTGGGGTAATATTGGGGTTATATGCAGGCAATATTAGAGTTATATTCGGTTAACATTAGGGTTATATTTGGATAACATTGGGGTTGTATTAGGTCAACTTAAGGGAGCTTACCCAAGGGTTCCTCTGTAGTTCCTCTTGGGGTTTGTCACTTTTGTTATGGGAGGGTAGAACCTAACGCGCCACGAGGAACTAGTAGGAAGCTCTTGGTATGCTTACGGAAATAGCAGACGGTAAGGATGTAGAGGGTAAGCAACGTGGCACCCAACGTGAAATAAAGACCACCATGTATGTACGGTGCCCCAAACCCCCCCCAACCCTAAAATCCTAAACCCCCCAAATCGTTTGGAGCTCTAGGAAGGGACAGTGCTTGAAGTTCAGGGGCTGTCATACAGCTACTGTCCAACCTTACCTCTTCCCAAAATAAGGGGACCCCAATATAGCTCCCTAAATCCTATGGTCCTTATTATGGGGATCCCCAAACTACCCCTAATTTTGGGAAAACCCAAAATAGTGATCAATGATGTACAAGTAGTGGTTCTCATGTCCTTGTCCATTCCTTCCCTGCTAACCAAGGTTTAGGGTTTTGGGTTTGGGTAAGTAGTACAGTCTGAGCTTGTGCTATTCCTGCACGTTCTCAGCCTGATGCTCTGATTTTTTTTATCTTGCCATGAAATAAGCACTGCTTGCTCGGAGAGGCCCTGAAGGACGTATCGCAAGCTTTGAAATTGGATGCCTCTTCGGTTCACGCTGTGCTTACCTTTGGTTAGCTAGGAATGAAGGAATGGATCCTTATAGTAGTCCCCATATAGCTCATTGTAGTTGTTTCAGTTTTCTTTCCCATTGCTTCATTCCCAGCTAACCAAACGCAAGTTGTGTTTGATGTGGAGTTGTCTTGGCTTTGATCTCGGCTTGACTGTCCTTCCTTCGGAGCTCCTCCGTCTTCAGGAGTAGGGTGTCCCAATAGCATGGAAAGAACAATTGTAAGAGCTCCGTTTCAGAGGATAGCCCTGGGGATCCAGGTATACCATTTAGCTCTAAAGAAGGCTCGGCGCACTGCATCCCAAATACAGCTGTATACTTGAGTTATGTGCCATAGCTCTTTTTATCGCTACGCATTGCCTTCTAAACCAAAGCCCAGCCCTATGCGTCGCTCAGCAAACTACGTGGACCTGTACCTCATCCACAATCCAAGAGCTGGACGCATCAAGGATGACGCGCCCTTGTCATTTTTGGCTTCGGGTTCAGGTGCTTAAAGGTTTTTCATTTCCAGGATTTCAGTTTTGCATGCTGAGTGCCCAAGGCCTTCCAGATCAGCCCGAGGATTCTACTTTCGGTTTGTGTCAGCAAGTGGAGGTACCAGGTACATGAGCGTAGCAGACGTTTCTACCAGGACCATGCAAAGCTGATGGTTTAGGGTTTAGGATTTTTTCAGGCTGCATTTGTTAGAGGTAAGCTGTTGCAGAGATATCATATCCGTTGCTTAGTTACCCCAGTCGGTACCCCTAAACCCTCAGCCCTCAACAGTAGCTTCCATTTTCTTTTCCATTATCCCTACATAACCTAAATATAACCCCAATATAACCCCGAAGGCATCTTGAGCCCTCAAGCAACAAGCTCCATATCTGAATCCCCGGGCTCTATCCTGTAGGAGGTTCCAGAGTTGAAGGCGTCTGAAGGGTGGCCCAGACATCTTCTTTGGCTCATACTGGCAAGCTTGAGAATTGGAGAGTTTGAGACATCTCCAAACAGACATAGGCGACATAGGTATACATCGTAATGCAATTGACCCTGCGGTGGAGCCTTCGTCCGAAGTTTTCTTGATGAGGCAGGGTTTGTGCGAGGGTTAATGCCCAGCATTGTTGTCGTTTGCTTCCCGAAAGCCACATCAATTCCCGGCTGTAGGCCCAACCCAACAATACTAGACACGAAGCTTAATTTAAGTGGAAAGACCCCAAATCGCTCCGCAGTCAGAATAATGCCCAACCCCCAACAGTAAATATGAAGCACCAGCTCACACCATGTTCAGTCAAAGAGTTTGAAGTTTGTACCCTTCACGTTTGTAAGCCTAGGTTTTGGGTCCCAAATACCCTTATTAAGGGCCATATTCCATGGTTTAGTGACCCAAACCCAAGGGTACAAAGCCTAGGGTACAAAGGAAAACTCCCTGATTTAGGGTTGAGGGATCGTTACAGCGGCCTTCAGAACATATTGTCAAAACCATCCCACAGGCTGAAGCTATAGGAGCTATAGCCTAAACATACAAGGGATTAGGGTTTTGGGCTTAGGGATTAGGGTCCCAACTCCTTACATGGGGATACCTAGGGAAGTATTATAGGGGTTATTAAGGGGATGCGGGGAGTTCAGGCTGTATAGCTCAGATCCTGATTCCCGGCAACGAAGCTCCCCTTCCCCAGTTGCGCCAACCTGCGAAAAACCCTAAACCCTAAACCCTCTCCCACAAACGTGCGCGCTACTATGGGGGGCAACAATAGGCAGATGGGGCTCACGTCTAATGATTATCGATGTTACGTAGAAGGGGTATAATGGAAAGAATTTGGGAACTACTATAATATACTATTGGGAGTATATAGGAGTTATATAGGGGAAGCTGGAAAAGACGATGGAAAGTGTTATATCATTGGGATTTTACAATAACGGAAAAGAAAATGGAAAGTACTAGATTATTTGGACCATGGAGGGGTAATGGTGAAGAACATGGAAACTACTATATTTTTTGGACAATACACGGGTTATATAGGGTATAATGGAGAAGAAAATGGAAAGTGCTATATTCTTTGGATTATATAGAGTATGATGGAGAAGAAACTGGAAACTACTATTAGTTGAATGTTGCGGACGTGAAGCAGGAGGTTTGGTCACTGCTGCTCCAGCTACGGGATGAGGGCCTGGCACGGTCAGCCACTCTCTCGCACTGGCTTCTTTTCTAGAGAGTTTGTGGGTTTAAGATTGAGGGATTAGGATTTATAGGGTTTAGGGGTTTAGGGTTCAGGGGTGTAGGGTTTGCGGATACTTATTACAGAACTCACAAACCCTACTTGTGCGGGGCTGTTGGATGATGACTGGTTTCATGAGTTACCTACCTTTTTCCCCTGGGGTGAATGGCTTCAAGACTGCTACAGCATTTTTAGCATTTGTTGGGCTTGCATTGGTGTGCTGGGGTTCACGACATGAGAGTATGATTCGCAAGGACTCCGTCAGGCATGTTCATGCATAAACTCACCGGTACCTTGGTAATGACCAGCATAGTCAGGGGGCTCAAAAGGTGGGATGAAGGTAGGTGGGGTGAAGGAATTAATCCCCAAGATACTAGAATCTACAGTAGGGATCCTTTAACCCCCCCCCACCTTTTGAGCCCCCTAACATAGGGCTCACAAGAAACCTTAACTGTAAAAAGGTGACCCGCAGCTTTGAGAAATCATCCTAGTGGGCTTCAAAGCAAGGCATGGCCTATGCTGGGTTGCTGTTAAGGAACGTTAATTTAAGTTACTATATTGGGGGGAACCATATTAATTACTATATATACCCATTATGGTAATTTTATTTAAGTTCTTTATCAGCAACCCAGTATGATGGCCTGAAACGAATGGTTTCTGCGAACCCCGAATATCGCAGTAGCCTGGTCATGTGCACGTTCGGCAGTCTACTTGCGGGTGGTATTGGTTCCTGCTGCGCACAAGACACTCATTCCGAAAGTGCTTGAAAAGGCTTCCAGCTTACGCATTTTTACGCAAGAAAAAAACGGACTTGTGCCATGGCCATGAGTTTTGTGGAATCCAAAGCAGCCAAACATACCAGAAGCCAAACGCAGCTAGAGCCAGGCTGTTTGTGCCGCCGTGAAAAGACCAGGGTGCTCAGGGCTTTGGATTCAGGCATTGGGTCTAATCCCCTCTCCCCCAAACATTAAACCCCCCCATCCCTCTAATATTAAATACTATCAGTATGTGGTATATTAGAATATATTGGGAGTAATTACGTAATATTAGGAGGGTGGGGTGGTTTAAACCCTAAACGCTAAACCTTAGGGGGGGGCTAATAATAGGGGGAGGGGATTATAGGATGAAGGCCACTCAGAGTTAACAGCCCAAACCAGTCGTCCGGGATGGAGGACCAGTAAATTCCTTAAAGAAGGTTATATAGGGTTTGAGGATTGGGATTTAGGGTCTAAACTCCTTGTAAGAGGGTTATATTGGGGAGTATGGTCGGGGTTCTTCAGGTGGATACAATACAAGGAGTTCCGACTACAGCTCACACAAGGGTTTTCCAAACATGGTGGGTCCCTACAGGAATGGATCTTTCATGATCTGGACGCATGGTACCCTAGTGGCATTTATACGGCGGCCGAGCTCTGAGAAATACCGTTACCCTGGGGCTCCATGTTTATACATCATACTTACATTGGGCTATTTGGAGTCTTTGGGTTATCCTTGATCCCAACCTGAACTGAATCTTGCAGACCCCAGACGAACAACAGCTTTAAAACTTATCGGATGGCCTTTTCCTGGGGATCGCAGCCCCAAACCCTAAACCCTAAGCCCTGAACCCCGAATTCAAGAAATGCAACGTCCTGGAACGCTCAGCCGCCCGAGGTCGGCGTTTCAAATTTCGGTATCACTCAGCTGGAAGGCTGGATTTGGGAATGAGGGTATAGGGTTTAGGGTCTAGGGCTTAGGGTTTTAGGGTGTGGGTCTAGTTCTGAAAGAAGGGCCTACAGAATCCTTCCACTTTCCTGTTATAACTCCATGTATCTATTTTGAGAAACTCCATGTGGACGCATCGAGCAGATAACGCTCCCCCCACGATCCACTCAACGCAGGAAACACCTAAATCCTAAATTCATGTATGCGCATACATTTCGGAAGGGTGCGAAAACCTAAGACATACCTCATGTTGAAAGATGCCTCTGGGCCTGTTTGGATGGTGGGTTGGTGTCGGAGCTTGGAGCACGTTCAAACCCTATGATCCCTGAAAACTTGGGTTCCTTTACAGAGGAACCCTTTTAGTGAAACGCATGTCTTCACACAACAACCAAAAGCCCTGAATCCCAAATCCTTCAGCCCTGTGAAGAGTGGCTTGAGCTGCACGGCCACTTCTCAAATCTTGGCTGCGTCTGGCGAAGTCTCTACAAGAGGAACCCTAAAACCCTAAACCCCAAACCGCCTCAGTCAAACAAACTGTTGTGCAGCAAAGTTCTCACAGTTTCGACCCTACTTGACTGTATCGCAATGCCAGCCTACGCCTGGCAACCCCCCAGGGTTTAAGGTTTAGGTTTTAGGTTTATGGTTCTGGGTTTAGGGTTCAGGGATGAATCCAACAAACTCCTTTCATCCTCCCACGACTTGGCATTTGAAAAGACATACTTACTTGAGGGACAGTCCAGGTCTGCCCAACACTTGGCTAACCATGCTTTGCCACTGTTATGCCCATCGCGGCAGATTTAGCTGCATTCCGAAGCCTCCGCCGGGTGCTTCCCGCCACTAAAGTGCACATAATCTGAATACCTTCTCTCCGGGTCAACGCATTCCGAAACATGAAGCTTCTCGTTTTGAGGCCCCCCGCCCACAGGGGCTCTAAGCCCCGAGACCTGAATCCCAAACTATGTGCCCTGAAGCCCACAACTAGCATAACCAGATATCATCCCTATATCACCCCTTTAAAGAGACTTCGAATTTTGGAGCCCAACCCCCATTGCTCGAGGCATTAGAGAGGCTGGACTCGAGCTGCCTGAGGTGAACCAAATTGAGGCGCCCTGTGTTCAAGGTTCAGTCTCTGGATTTAGGGCGCGGGCTTAGGGAGACGCCCAATACTCAAAATTCCAAAGGGCTTTAAAGGGGTATATAGGGGAACGGAAAAGAAAAAGGAAACTATTCTTGCTGACCCACAGACGGGGTGGAAAAACATTTGGGGTGTTTTTTTGCTGTGTGTGTTTGTGTTCTGTGTCTTGGTGGGATATGATCTCGCGATGCTCAATGATGCAACTCGATCATAAACGATGCAGGGCACATGACAATAATTACTTAATTATCGAGCAGATAAAGCTATCACTTCAAACTTTAAATTCTAACCTTCCAAAAACCTTATCTCTTGCCTGAGGTGATGTACAGATCTTTCTAAAATTTCACAAGAGCAGCGACAATGGTTTCTCTGATTTCAGAGTAAAAAAAGTTTCAAGCCCGCGTGAGAGCCCCTTGAAAGGATAAAACTAAATCAAGAAAACTTGAAACCAGTTTCTAAACCGTTGCATGGTTGGGCTGAGAATTTTGGGTTCGAGGTTAAAGCTTTAGTGTTTCCTTTTCTCGTTTTCCCTTGTTTCGGCTTTCAGAAACTTTTGAGTGTGATGAATCTAAAAGTTAAAAGATCCGAGAACGCAGTTGGTCTGTTTCTGAATACTAGTACACCGAAATGTTTAACCTTATACCGAA